ACCCGTCCGCACCCGCCGAGCACTCGCCGCTATCTGACATTTGCCAAACTGTCGCTGCTATCTGACAGTTTGGCCAAATGCAATGTACTGTCAGAGCACAGTGCATTGTGGGCCACGGCAGGTGAATAGCCCGCCAAATGCCCTTACCGTTCATGTGTTTGCCGAACGGCCAATGTTCGAGTCGAGCTTATGTTCAACTCAGAAATCAAGGATATCACTATTAGGCATTAGGATTTATTTTACCCTTACGCGTGATTAGGTTAAAGGCCCTTTTACAGTTCTGTGGAATGTGAAGTGAAGAGTTCTGCTTTAAACATGGAGCATCTGTAACCCTAACACTGTCTCCCATGATATCGTGAGTAATAAACTCTCTTTTGTTTAATCTACAAGTGACTGATGCCCATCTGTTAAAATGTCCCATTATTTCCAAAGAGATCTACACCTTGAGGTGAAATTTCAGCCCACCCTGTCTGTGGGGGTACCACCACGCCTCCAGGAGTCAGAGGGGGGGGGCTACAAAGGTGAACTATGCTTTTAAAGGGGAGTAGTTGAAGGGGGTAGTAAAAATACTGCTTAGCCATGCATTTTTACTGACTCTCCCCACCACCTCCAAACCACAAGTGTAAAGGAGACAATATTTTTTTGTTGTATACATTGATGTGTCAAGAATTTATTACTGCAGGTATTCAAATGTACAGGTAGCTCTGATGAATCAAGGTCAATGTATTGGTATTGCTGGCAATGGCATTAGAAGCTATACAGATATAGAGTTATTGAACTTGTAAAGAATGCTGCCAAAATGGACAAATATCCACTATGGGAAAAGTACATTAACTTAGGTGCTATCCTAATACAGAACAATTTCTGCTACTTATTAAGACAGTGATATCACGAAACTGACAAATCTCCATTATTCACATATCTTTATTCATGACTGATTGTTTGGTTTTTTTTTTTGCCGTCCTATTAGAAAAGCCTGTTATTGTATTTTTTCATTAACACACAGCCACTGCTATCACATTGTAACCAGCAAGTTTTGCAGCTAATTAAATTATATTTGGGGTTTTTATGCTTTTTTTTAGATTCATATTCTAGTATGAAGGCAGACAGTGCAGCAAGAGAATATTATTCCTATGGATAGTCAGTGTTTTTCTAAACAAAAGTTTTTTTCAGAATACAAGTAATTTATTTTTCAGCTGTTTATGTTGATCAGGCCCTAAAAATAAATCCAAATAAATCTCTTTCCCTTTCTCATGGTTACTGATAAGAAATCTCTGCTGTCTAGAGAATGAGATTTGGATTGTACCTGGGCAATATAAACTTCTACAAGTACAAAGCAGGCAATTTATTGTTGACAATGTGAAATTGGGATTTGTAATAGAAATGGTTGCTTTACAATAAGAAAGAGAAGAATTAAACGGATCTCCAAACAAAATGTCACAATGAAGCAAAACCAAAAGGTGCAGATTGTCAGCCTCTACTGCTCACTACCTCTGGCAAACCTTTTATTGGTACAAGATAAGACATTTGCTCTTTCACAGAACTGGTGTTCTGAGGGTTAATCTTTTTCTGGCCCACCAACAAGATACAATAGTTCCTTTCACACTCAAAGTAGATATAAACCCTAATGAAAGTATCTAGTATCATCTTTTATTTGTTGAATATAAATTCAAAGTCATTTTCAATCTTTTTAAAATATTTTTTTTAATTAAAATAATGGCAATAACTGGCAATCTTGCCCAGGAGTTTGTTGTTTCTCAAACCTCCTATTATGGGATGACAATGGTCTGTCCCTGTCTCTGATTTGCTCCCCTGAGTTGTCCCCTTGGCACATGCTCCAAGTGGTTACTAAAATTCATCCATCACATGCATAGGTATCATTGCATAGGCATTTTCCACTGTTGCCACCATCAGAAACTCTACCATGAGCTATGATCTGCTGGTGTGCATTTAGGCAGGTGCCGTCTGTGCTCCCTGCTGTGGGTAGCACCAAGCTAAAGCAGCAATAAGCAGGGCAGAGCTTATTTAAGCCTCTGATCCCCTGAATTGGTGCACATAGTGGGTAGTGCAGGGACAGAGTTTCCATCTGTTAAGGACAGCATTAGTGGCAGGGAAAGGTTCTGAAGCAGTAGCGAAAGCACAGGGATTACGTTAAGGGAGCCTCCCATTTGGGTTGGACCAGCCAGGCTGCATTCCCACTCTTTGGTGCAGAAGCTGTAAGCATCACTTAAGCTACTGTATAGCTGCTGTGCATTTTATAAGTGGCTCCAGGCGGCTGTGTGCACCCACCGGGCCTGTTAGTACCTTGTAGAAACTTTTATAATATACTGTTCATATTACTCAGCCTCTGTGTGATCTCTGCCGCTGACACACCACACTGCACCCTGATTACATGCATGCCTTCTGTTGTTTTGAAATGGTCCTCTTGTTGTACCTGAATGTCTTAGGCTGCTCCCAGGCAGACCAGCGGCAAAGGGTAGAGTTTGACTGTTCTTTTTGTTTCTCTTTTTCTGAGTGTACATGCTATCATTCTTTATCTTTTGTACTTTGACAAAAATTTCAATAAAAATATTATGGGAAAAAAAGTAGCTGCATACAGGCTAGAGGAGATCCTTGTACTAAGATGCAAAAAAAGGATGTAAATATAATTTTTTAAAAGGAATAAAAATAGAACACAGTTGTTTATGATGTCCAGTCCTTTAGCAAACTAAAACCATCCATTTACAGTTTAAATCTAGTTTAAAGAGTAACTCTACTTTTGTTAAGGAAGAAAATGCCCCTGTGGCTAATCAGTGTACATTGCAAAGCTTTTAACAAACTTTGTTGCAGATTACTACTTTTTGTAATGCTGAATAAATAGTTTTGTTTTTCTGTGTCCATGTGCAGAATTAATCTTTTTTTCTCTTTTTTTTTTGTCTACTAAACATTTAGGAATTGCAATATCAAGGGATCTACGTACTTGCTGTAATCTCAGATTTTTTGTGGGTAAAATAAAATCATCCTTCAAATGTTGAGCGTGTGACCTTCTAAAGGCAAATAAACCATTCACTCCGCAAGAAAACTTTACCTTAGCTTGGTGAATGAGGTGAAGCTCTATTGATTTCCATCATCTAAACATGTGCAAGAAATTTTTTTTTTTCCTTCAACAGGATTGGGTATTATTTACAAAGGTAATTTGCAGCACATTCACTAAGCTATAGGCAAATTTCCTTTCTGAGTAAAAAATATCTAGCCATGTGAACAATATATTTGCCTTCAGCAAATAAACTTCTATATCTCAAATATATTTCACATTTTCAGATATATAGCTCCCTAAAAAGCAGCATGGAGAGGACTTAAAAATAAAAGTGCATGCCTCAACGCAAAATACAAGGGCTAACCTATGTTATTATTGTTTCACCTCATTTGGGGTGGCTGAAATTGTTCTGATCAATTTTGATCATGATCACTGATAAATTTTGTCTTATAACAACCTTAAATAAATATGGTTTTCAGTTATTTTATTCATTGCTATATGAGTAAAAACTGCATCACTGACATGGTTATATTTTATTTATAGTTTGTGTGTTTGCTTTTTTTGGGGGGGGGGGGGCTGTCTCTTTGTATTGCATATGGTTCACCTTGGTAATGCCATTTTGGTGTTCTGTGAGTTGGCATATTTAGCCTCTCTTCCTTTGGTGAAGCCAGCATGGCCAATTCTTGCGTATCTCTAAATTGTTATTGTTATTTTCTGGACCCACATGTCACCTCTCCACAGTTAGCTATTATTAGTTCATGATCTCTGCATCCTCTACTCATTGAGATCATTTTGGTAACTTTTACTGTCTATAGAATGGATGTTTTAGCCTCTGCTTTCTTCTGTACTCACCAGATTCCTAGGAGATTATTGCCTGAAAAACCAGGAAATGGTCATGGATGGCATGTTATACAGGAAGAACATATGCATTGGTCAAGTGATGGTAAGGCTTGAGTTTGCCAGGCTTATTCTATTGACATGTTTCCCTTTAAAATGTGATCAGTTCAGGGTCTGTTTATGTAAACTCATGAATGAGAGATCCTGTCACGTACCTGATAGGAGAATGAAATGACGAGGTCGGTTTCACTTGTGTTACTAGCCCTGACCCCGCTGGAAGTGGAACAGAGGGTGCCGAGGGACCATGGGAACAGGAGTGCCAGCAGGTATTGCCTGAAGAGCTTGCAGTTGGAGTCCTGAAGAGATTGATGAACCACCGGTCCAGGAATGGTAGCGATGTTTTGGAATCCCACCTGGGTTAAAAGGGCACTCCGTACAACAGGATCAGGATAAGTGACGAGTCAGATTTCCCAGCTGACTTGAAGCAGGAGCAGTTTAAGGTGAGCAGAGCTGGTATAATAGGCAGCCAGGCAGGCACTTGAGCAGGACAGGAAGCTCGGATCGGAGACAGGAGCAAGGTCACAGGAATAGCCAGGGTCATCAACTGGCAGGCAGCAAGGTACAAAATCATAAGCAAGCCGAAGTCAGGAACAGAGCCAGGATCAGGAACGAGCAACAAGACAGGAGCGGAATCCGAAGTCAGGTCAGGAACAAGCCAGGTCAACAACAAGGGGATCATACAAGAATACAGCAGGACACAGGGAAACAGCTGAAGACTAGTCAGCACTAAGCACAGGCAGAAGCATCCTTTAACCACCTTCCGCCCGCCATATAGTACAATGACGGGCGCAAGGTGGTTCTCTTGTTCTGATAGGACGTCATATGACGTCCTTCCATTCTCACCACGCATGTGCGGCTCAGAGAGCACGCAGCGCAGTGATTGTCAGTGCACTGTGTCCCTTGGACACAGCGGATCACGGAAAGAGCTGAAGATGTCGGCTCGGTCATGTGATCAGCTGTGTCCAATCACAGCTGATCACAAGAAAACACGGAAATGCCGGTTATTGGCATTTCTCTCCTCTCGAGCTGTCATGCTGACAGCTCGAGAGGTGAAGAGAGACGGTAATCGGCTTTCCGCGGAGGGGACATGTACACTGATCATCAGGGCACATCAATGCCACATATCAGTGCATACCAGTTCACATCAATGCCACATATCAGTGCCCACCTGAGCTGCCTTTCTATGTCACCCATCAGTGCCAGTCAGTGCCACCTATCAATGCCAATCAGTGCCACCTATCAGTGCTGCCAATCAGTGCCACCTATCAGTGCCAGTCAGTGTCGCCTATCAGTGAGCATCAGTGCTGCCTATCAGTGCCAGTCAGTTCTGCCTATCAGTGCCGCCTATCAGTGCCATATATCAGTGTCATGTATCAGTGCTGCCTTTCAGTGCCCATCAGTGATGCCTGTCAATGCCCATCAGTGCAACCTACCAGTGCCTCCTCATCAGTGCCCATCAGTGCCACCTATCAGTGTCCATCAGTGCAGCCTATCAGTGCCCATCACTGCAGCCTCATTAGCGCACATCAGTGAAGGAGAAAAATCACTTGTTTACAAAACTGTATAACAAAAACTAAGAAAAAACTTTTTTAAAAAAAATTTTCAGTGGTTTTTGGTTTGTTTAAGAAAAAATAAAATTCCCAGATGTGATTAAATACCCCCAAAAGAAAGTTCTATCTGTCTCAAAAAAATTATAAAAATTTCATATGGGTACAGTGTTGCATGACCACGCGATTGTCATTCAAAGTGTAACAGCGCTGAAAGCTGGAAATTAGCCTGGGCAGGAAGGGGGTATAAGTGCCCTGTAGGCTAGTGGTTAAATAGTCCATCTAGTGGCAAATATTCACTGTGCATGTGCGCAATTGTGCGTTTCTGTGCGCATGCCTGGTCACTATTCTACGGAGATTGCTGTGCGCATGTGCATTTCTATTAGCCAGCCGTCTCACAGGAATTTCCTTACAGATCCATTCTATACATTGACCAGGGACATGAAGAGAATTCTTCAGGCGCAGGTTTTAAAACTAAAAAAGAGTCAAATGTCAAACTATCTATAGTCAGTGGGGTTGTTTCAATAAAACTGAAGAGCGCAGCCGATCAGCTTTCAACCTCAGCCTGTTCAATTAGGCCTTGACAATAAAACCTGGAAGCTGTCCGGTCACCAAAGAGTACTACACCAGACCCTGTACTTCCCTGCTCCAGTCCCAGAAAACCAACCCTAGTGTGTAGAGATGAGCGAATTATTCAAAAATTCGATTCGGCTGATTCGCCGAATTTGCGGGAGAGAAATTCGATTCGATGCGAATTTATTCGCTGCGAATTTAACTTATTAAAAGGGTTTCTAGGCTTCAGAGAGCCTTTATATTAGTGCAGAACACTGTACCTTTAATTTAAATGCCCTTGGAGTCTGCTGGGGAAGAGAAATAATACTGTCAGTCAGTATGACATGCAGATGAGTGCCGTCGATCTTAGAATCACCGCACACTTCACTCATTTGGGCAGTCACGGGGCACGACGAAGAAGAAGAAGAAGAATGAAAAGAAGAATAAAAGAAGAAGAAGAAGAATGAAAAGAAGAATGAAAAGAAGAAGAAGAATGAAAAGAAGAAGAAGAAGAATGAAAAGAAGAATGAGAAGAAGAATGAAAAGAAGAATGAAAAGAAGAAGAAGAAGAATGAAAAGAAGAAGAAGAAGAATGAAAAGAAGAAGAAGAAGAATGAAAAGAAGAATGAAAATGAAAAGAAGAAGAAGAAGAATGAAAAGAAGAAGAAGAAGAATGAAAAGAAGAATGAGAAGAAGAATGAAAAGAAGAATGAAAAGAAGAATGAGAAGAATGAAAAGAAGAATGAAAAGAAGAAGAAGAAGAATGAAAAGAAGAATGAAAAGAAGAAGAAGAAGAATGAAAAGAAGAAGAAGAAGAATGAAAAGAAGAATGAAAAGAAGAAGAAGAAGAATGAAAAGAAGAATGAAAGAGAAGAAGAAGAAGAATGAAAAGAAGAATGAGAAGAAGAATGAAAAGAAGAATGAAAAGAAGAAGAAGAAGAATGAAAAGAAGAAGAATGAAAAGAAGAATGAAAAGAAGAAGCAGAAGAATGAAAAGAAGAAGAATAAGAATGAAAAGAAGAAGAAGAAGAATGAAAAGAAGAAGAAGAAGAATGAAAAGAAGAAGAAGAAGAATGAAAAGAAGAAGAAGAAGAAGAATGAAAAGAAGAAGAAGAATGAAAAGAAGAAGAATTCCAGTACAGCAAAAAGTGTATCTGCAGAGAGCTCCGCTATTTCTGACAGTTCTCTGACAGTTCCTTCACATTTACAGCGGTTGAAACATTGTATCTATTTATTTCCGAATAAAAACATCTGTATCCTAAATGGAAACAAATAGATACAATGTTTCAACCGCTGTAAATGTGAAGGAACTGTCAGAGAACTGTCAGAAATAGCGGAGCTCTCTGCAGTGACACTTTTTGCCGGCTGATCGGGAAAAATTTGATTCGTGCATCCGAAGTTTGCTAAAATTCGGATTCGGTGCGAATCAAATTTTTCCTAATATTCGAAACGAATTCCACTTCGCCAAGTTCGATTCGCTCATCTCTACTAGTGTGTCATGCTCAAAAAAAACTATGAACTACAGTCAATAACTTATTTTAAAACCCTGGGGTAATAGCCAAGGCTATAAATATAAAATATTAATTAGAAAATGTTAAAATAAAATATACAAAATACACTAGGAACCATGGCAATTAAGTATACTAAACAACAATAAAAGTGAATAATTTAAAATATCACTAGACTTGCAGAGAGGATTTGTTTGTGGAAATATAGCTACTGCAGCTTTTCCTGATAATAATAATACTATTCTATTAGGATCTATGTTTTGAACATTTAAATTTCTTCCTCTTTAGGAAAGTCCTTTAGTGCTCCAATCATATAACTATTGTTGTTCAGAAAGACTCCTGGATCAAGGCTTTAGTGTCTTTCCAGGGTGGTAAGTGATAATGCCAGAGTGTCATAGACTTTCACTAATTTAAAGCAGGATGGCAAATCTCCAGCATATAACATTTGTACTGTTATCAAAACATATATATGCTGAGCAAAACACTCTAACATCTCAGCAGCTGATTTTATTCCTCAATCCTGCAAAACTGGAACATGGTGAAAATGTACGAAGGACCTGTTCCTTTGCCTTCCTCATTCTTCACAGATTGATCTGCTGAATCAAAACCTGTATTAAAGTGGTTGTAAACCCCTACGTACACCCAACAAAGTGACTGGCCTCAGGTGATACACAATGATTAAACAAATCTTCCTATATCAGTTGTATCTGTCTATCTGCAGTGTTCTTTTCTCAACAGCCATTCAACTGCTGAACCCACAGAGCTTGTCTAAGCCCCCCAAATAATTTTTTTTGCTATAAGCAAGCATATAACTGAATGAAATTGATTCAGTCAGGATTTTTTGTTGTTGTGATTAGCTGTGATTGGCTGTGATTGGTCAGTGCATGTGATCACTGTGGCCAGTCACAGCAAGTGACACAACTGTATTTTTCCAAGCCCGTAGACTTTACCTTACACATTAGCCGTTTGTGTGGAACTTTGTCAAACGCTTTTGCAAAATCCAAGTATACTACGTCCACTGCCACCCCTCTGTCCAAGGTTTTGCTCACCTTCTCAAAAATCAGATTTATATAACTTCTGTCTTTCATGAATCCATGCTGTCTGTTACTTAAAATATTTTTTTCCAGCAAGAATTCATCTACAGTATGTGGTCTTTTATTAAACTCTCCAGTATCTTCCCAACTATAGATGTTAAACTAACAGGTCTATAATTGACCTATTCGTCTTTGTTTTTACATTTAAAATGTGAGTGCATTTCCTTTATGATAATAAAGTGACCTAGCAGTTTCACACAATGGAACTTGTGTGTTTATTTTATGCCTGACAGTGGTGAAATACTTGGCAAGGTTTATGGTCATACAGAGACCCTGCTGGCTATTCTGATTCCTGGGAGGTACACCCAGCACATTCGAAAATGCACAATTATTTTTTTAAATTCTTTATTTTAGAGGTTAAAATAAAGGTCAATAATTGTTTGATATACTGTACATACCATTGCTGAGCAACCAACACACATATTAAAATGTACAGATTGCCAATTTGTGTATGCGACTTCTTCAGTTATTCAGCAACCTAACAGGTCCCCTATACAGGATAAGCATGTTCATGGTACTGTAAATGGGTTGACAATACAAAACGTATGACTTACATTTCAACATGTCCAACTGTTTTCTTTGTGTTTCTTTTATCAAGGGGGTAAGGAAGTAGCTTTTTAATGATAGGGGGAGAAGATAGAGGAAGGGGAAGCAGAACTGTGTACAGGGTGATACCATAAGGGGGATGTTCAGAAAAAGGAGAACAAGAAAAAGGGAGGAGAGAAACATAAAAAGGGGCAGGTTCTGGGCCATATCTGCCGTGAGGCAAACAAGGCTTTTGCCTAGGGTGACATTTTTCAGGGGGGCGGCACCGCCCCCAGGCAAAAGGGACAAGGGACCAAGGCTTGGCATGTCAGGAGAGCTCGGCAGGGCTCAAGCAGGAAACAGGGCTCAGGTGGGAGGCAGGGTTTAGGCAGGGAGCGGGCTCAGCAATTTTTGAGCAGGAGAAGGTGTGCTCGGCTTATGCCATCTTGAGTTCATGGCAAGCCGGTTATCTTACCTTCTCTGTGCCTTCCCGGATCACTGATTCCCTGCTGTACCCACTGACTTCATTAAGATCCAGCAGGAAGCCCAGGCCCGGACTGACCATTGCAGCTGCTCTTTGAACCTGCTCCACTGACTCAGCCTCTCTGCAGCCAGCTGGCCATCCATTGAATTCACTGCATATGGCCCTCAGGTCCGGAGGGTGGAGCCTAGAGGTCAGCTGACCATGAAGGGGAGATGCAGGAGAGGAGACCCCATCGCCACATGTTGGGTATCACTGCAGCCGCAGACACCATGGACCCCAGATATGTGCTACTTTACTTGTCAAATAGATGAGATGCTTTGGTCACTGTCTGTCTCTCTCTCTCTCTCTTACAATGTGAGTGATACTGGATAAGAGAAGGTAAAGTGAAGGCTTTGGAGATCAGACATTTTATCTTCTGTTATCCTCTGGTAAGTATCACTCACATTGTTAGAGATAGACAGTTCTGACCAACAAGGTGTCCTGCATTTAACCTCTTCCCGGCTGCTGTACATTTATGAACATCCTCGGACGAAAAGGGTGATATCTCCATCAACTGCAGCAATGATCAAGATAACATTCTTTAGCCCCAGCAATTTTGCACAAGATAAAAGTAATCCAGGGGCTAACAAGCTGCTGATTTACTTTTACAGGTGGCGGAAGGGCGTCCCTTCCCCTTCTGCTACTGACGCCTTTACCGGGCTCTCCGATGCATTCGGGAAGCCCGGTAAGGATGTGACCAGTGCATCTAGCTCTAGGCAGACAGCGACCCCTTCTCCCACTGTGCGATGCCAGAGACAGGAAGCAACAAGGATTTTGTCACTTCCTATTTTGGCTCTTTGTTTACCTGTCTGCTAATG